TTGACATTAAAGCTTCCTAACATAGATTTTCTTTCGGATGAAGAAAAAAACATCCATACTTGAATCATTTGAACATAGAAAATGTATGGCTCTTCATGCTATGCATTACGCTAGTTCCATACTTGATCCAAGACATAAAGGACAACATTTATCACAAATAAATGACATAGCAGGTGTTGAGTACATTTTCAGTGTAGCTACAGCAATAATGCCTGAAGAAACTCAACAAATAATGATTGAACTAGCTCAATACCGTTCCAATGAAGGCCTTTGGAGTAATAAATTTATTTGGTCTACTGAGATAAAAAATTTAAATCCTTTCACTTGGTGGAAGGGGATATGTGGTAGTTCTTATTTAAACAAAATTGCAGTAGCAATTTTATCTCTGCCTCCATCTTCTGCTGCTACAGAAAGGTCTTTCAGTACATTCTCATTAATACACACAAAAAAAAGAAATAGATTAGCAAATGAACGTGCAGCAAAATTACTTTATATTCATCAAAATAGAAATAATTTAAAAAAATCAAGTATTCCTAAAAATAAACCTTGCAAAGAGAGACAGGTAAATAAAATATGTCATGACTCTAATGAAATCGACTATCAATCTACACCTGGACCATCTACACCTAGACCATCTACACCAGGACCATCAACATTTATGGCGACAAGTATACCAAAATCTAAAAATATGTTTAAATTAACTTCTAGTTCTTTCTCAGAATCTTCAGAAGAAGATTGGAATTCAAAAGATTTATTTGATGATTCAGATTCCACTCCATCCTCTAGATCAGACTGGGAAGAATTATATTAATATTTTTAATTTTGATTTTATACTTATTAATTATTTATTATTAATAAGATCTTTTTATAATTTTGTTATTCAGTTTATTTCACCATTTATCACACAATAGCCAGATTGGTAAAATGTATTTATTTTATTTTTATTACTTTTTATTTTTATTATTAAATTATAATTTTAACTAATTATAACTCGAGGAAAAGACAAATTAAATATAAAACTAAAAGACTAGAATTTAAATTGTTTTTTTGTTGTTGATGTTATAGTTACCTAATGAATCTGATTTGATTAATTAACAATTTATTTTATTGGTAGGTACATTTATAATATTTTTATTCATAATATAAAGTAATTGAAAATACATGAAAAGAAGTCAATAATAAGTATTAATACTACTAGGGACTTATATAAAATCATATATTAAATTTATAATACCATGAACACCACACTATCCAGTAAATAATAAAAATAAGCATTACAATAATTATAAGTTTATGGAAAAGTGGAAGTGAGGAGTTCATAAAGGTGTTTCTATGGCGACATACAAAAATTATCAAAATTTACCAAATTTACAGAATTTACGTAAATTAACGTAAATTTTTCTCTGTAAATTACCAAAAAAAAAAATTTACGTAAATTTTACATCTCTACTTTTTTTGTAGCACCTACCACATAATTCTGTATTCCTACTACCTAGTCGAATGAGTATTGAATATTTGATATATATCGATATATCGATACCTAAATTTTTTTTTCGATATCGCACAATTCAAAACGATATTGATTTTCAAAAATATATCGTTGAAGAAGCTTAGTTTTTAGTAATATTTATACTAAAACAAAAAATTATAACAAGATATGTGAAGTAGTTTGCAGGTAGCATATTACTGGAAGTATTAAGTACTAATTATTAAGTACATTTTTTTTTTTCGATCGTTTGAAATATGTATATATAGTAAAATGTATATAAAATTTTAAATTCAAAAATATTGTCAAAATATGCAAAATAAGCATAAAAATTTTAAAATATGTATTCTCCTGCAAAATCTATCAAATATGCAAAAATATGCACATTCAAATTTTAGATCTGATATCATGGCATCGAGAAACGAATTTATTTCGCACTCTGCTATATTTAACAATAATTAAAAAAAATATGCAAATTCTAGAAGTCCCTAAGCCTAATTATGTGTTATGGCTGAGTACGGGCTGTAATTCGTTTCCAATTTCCAAAAATATTACAAAATAAAGGAAACGATGAAAAAACTCATAAGTAGGGTTGCCATATTTGGCTAGGGTCTGATCAGGACGTTCTAGGAATTCTAGGATGGAGCTTATAAAATTACTCAGTTTGAAATAAAAATTATTTTATTATTACGTTACGCCGTCGAGTAAATAAAACGACTGACTGACAATTATCAACTTCTTAAATTATCGACTATGCCGTGTGCCCCTATCCACGTAATTCGTAAATACTATGAATCCATAAATCGCTTTACCAATACGATTCTAATAATAATCAAAATATTGAGAACGAGGGTCCGACTTAAACAACGACTAACGATTGATATGACCGATTTAATTGAATTTTAATCGCATAATTATGGTCGTACAAGAACAAGTAACAACTAACAAGTTAAAAAACAAAATTTCTGTTTTCGATCATGATTTATGCATATTTGAATGCAATAAAAATATTTGCAATACCGAGTTCCAATCGGGACATTTTAGTCTTTTGTCGGGACGTCGGGACAAAGAGCTTAATATCGGGGACAGTCCCGATGTATCAGAAAATATGGCAACCATACATCCATTCTCATGACTCATAAGGCATGGAATCTGGAATATTTATCGTGGCGGGTACGAATTGCGGGGTGCTTTTTGACAATAATTGAACAGTGTGTCGTGTACTCACTATAATATTATATAGTCCTGCTCGCGTTAATCCAATCGCCATTGGTTAATGAGTTGGGTCTTAGGCATGATCTCTATATTTAAATAACAAATATTGCATACCCGTAAACTACGAGTATTTACTATCTAGTAATTACATAATATAGAATATTTTATATTATACAATAATAACAATAACATATCTAGTAGTCACCAAGTACACCCACCCTCCACATAAAAAACTTCTGGGGTATTTACCCCATTACCCATACGTGTTCGACGCCACTGCGTATATATCAGTTACAATTATTTTTTTTACCTAGTTTTTATCGTGTATGAACTTACATATGTACCTTTTTCTATCGTGTAGGCATTTACATTTGCCCACTTTAAATGCACCTGGTACTTTATTTTCGAATAAAAATAAGTTGAAAATGTAATATAGTAGTTTACATAAAATTATACTATACTTTTTTAATAACTCGGAAGATATCTTGTCGACACCGAGAGACGAATTATTTTTTAATTTAGAAGTGGCTTCCATGATATCATTAGTTGTTATGGGTTTAAATTTCTTATATGATAGTATATATTTTATTTGAAAATGGTATATTACTATATTTACTAAAGGTAGACGAAATCTTAGTATTATTGCGATTTTGTAGTTACGCTCCTTAAGTCGGAGGCCACATTCATAAAATAGTTATTAAATTGGTTTGCTAAAATATTTGCGGGTTCACATCCTTTGAATACGGTTTTAAATATTTATGTTAGTTAATAATTCTTTAGAGTTATTTGTTTTTTGCTCTTTTTTGTAGTGATTTCGTTAATTGTTTTCCATTTAAGTTTTGCATTATTTCTGAATTCTGTAGTTTTTTTTTTGTAATATATGATTTTGACTTATTTTATTATATTAGTTATTTCGTTCCTAAATTTAACGTTAAACTCTTTTCATTTTATATTTAGAGGATGTTTTCTGACTTGTAAACGTAGGTGGTCATTGAATCGTAAAAAGGTAACAAATTACTAATCGGTCATCATGAACCATTTAGAACTTAAAAATTGTTCGTGTGATCCGACTACGAAAGCATTATTACCTATCCGCGGCTCTTCTGCGGAGATGGTCCGAACCTATGTGTTTTCTACGGTCTAGGTTTTTCTCTCCCGTACGGTTTTCGGTGTGCGTGCGCACCCAATTGAAGCCCAGGGGACGACAATGGACGAGACTGACGGACGCGGAGGGCACCGCGATCGGTGGGGGGGGAATGAGAAGGGGAGGGTAGTTGGCCGAGACAGGGGAGGTACGGGGAGCAAAGCTCGTGGAGCAGAGCGCAGGCGGCGGTGGTTTGTGCACGCACGCCGGGGCCCGGCACACGGACCCGAGCTGACCGTACGGTGGCGGCGCCTGTCGGCGGGACTTTCAACCGTTGTGCGCGGCGCCGGTCACGGGCAATCTGAAGGGTCGCACGCCGGAGTGATTCCCAGTCGGCCAGCAGCATTTTAGCAGTAGAACGCACACAACCGGTAGCGTCGGTGGAGCTCTACAAATTTACATATACACACATACACGCGCGCACGCGTACGCACATTCTATCACACACACATACACACACACATACACACACACACACACACACACACACACACACACA